CCCAAGGAGTCCCCAACCAAGGAAACACCATAAGCACACCAAATCCCTTCCCTATAGGAACCCACTTTGACCTTTGTCAATTTCCCAACCTCCACAATCCACCTCACCCAAGTTGGCCACACTTGCCAACCCAATTTGGTTTCTCCCAACCACTTGTCAGCATCTACAGTGATGGGGACGAATTTCCCAACCCTCAAAAGTCTATACCCCTTATGGAGTCAACCCCACAACTTCCCATAGTCATCACAACCAAATATCAAAAGCATACGAACTCCAAACATTCGTAACTTTCTTGTTCGTGCTCCGATTGAAGCGATACTTGGCTCGACGGAAAGCTCTTGAGCAGAGGATTCACTTTAGGTATCTGCTCAAGCCAAATAAAATTCACACACACTGAGAATATCCAAACCACAGAAAACACAAATTCTTGCACACGCTCACATCACGCATGCAACGCACGAACATATGATGGGAGGCAGACAGACGTGAATACATATGATTGCATCACACAACACTTCCTAGCCCCCGCCGACCAGTTGGCGTACTTCTCGCTCAGCACCAACTGCGACAGTGTGGACCGCAGCTGGACGAGCCTTGAGAGGGCGATGTAGTTGGTGCCGAACCTGGTCCCCGTCGGCTTCACAAGCTGCTTCCCCTTTCCTCCCGTCACCTTCCTACTTCTCAGGTAATTGCGGGTGAAATGGTGGTTCCGGACGTAGGTGATCATGTCCCTGCACCGATCCACAATGTCCTTGCACCACGTGATTTTGCCCACGTCCTCCATCAGGAGGTCGAGCACGTGCGTAGCGCACGGCACATACTCGATGTACGGCCAATCCGCCATCAGCTCCTTGCAGGCGGCCCCGTAGTTGGAGCCCCCGTCCATGCAAAGGGCTACAACGTTTTCAGGCCCCACCTTCTCGATGATGGGCCGGAGGAGGGACGCGATGTAGCGGCCGGTTTTTGACTCCATGTTGCAGTCGATAGCCTCGATAAACACCGCTCTCAGATCGTTGACCAGCATGACATTCGCCTGCTGCGGAGATAACTACTACAACGGGAGCTAGACTACGGGCTAGGCACGGGTGCTCGTGTGATCTCTGCGTTCGTTGGTCCTTAGTCATTTTCCTAGTGCACACACTGCTTGCTAGTTCACGGGGCAAATTGGCAAGAGTTTTACTAGAGAAAGTTGACAACAATGGTACAATCAAGTTGGCAAGACAAGACTACATCAGAGCTAGCATTCAGGTCGGTCGACTGCCAGCACAGCATGGTCGACCGCGTTCCAACACGACTTGGTCGACCGCGCTCCAGTAGTGCAAAGTCGACGGCGTGCCAACGCTGCAGGTCGACGGCGTGCAAGCGTTGCTCCCGCAGTACAGCATCGCACCAGCTTCGCAGGTGCTCGCAGATGATTGGCATGCTGTGCCTCATCACCTGCACAGCGCACACATCAAGTTGTCCTCGTGCTGACGACTGCACCTGATCCGCCACGTTGACCTCGGGATACCACCACCGAGGTCGGTCTCGCCAACATCGCCTGGGCGACCGTCGCACTCCTCCGCAGAACCTCGTCACCCTGGTAACCTGGTCGACCGGGCAACCAAGTCGACCAGCTGCTCCTGTATGTGCCCGTCGACCTCCCAAGTCGACGACCATCTCGAGTCGACCTCACCAGGTCGACCACACCCTTGGTCGAAGAGCTCCAGGTCGACGTCACTCCTGGTCGGCCAGCTCTACGTCGACCAGCACGATTGTCAGCCGACCACCCAAGTCGGCTACCCGAAGTCGGCGTCACCAAGTCGAAGCCCCTTCTACGTCGGCGCCGACTTCCAAGTCGACCTCTTGAAGTCGGCGACCTCGCAAGTCGGCGACCTCGCAAGTCGGCGACCTCGCAAGTCGGCGACCTTGCAAGTCGGCGCCGACTTCCAGGTCGACGCGCCACATCGCCGACCACCAGTTGAAGTAGGCCGCCGGCTTCCCAAGTCGGCGGCATTGCAGTGGCCCCGTGCAAGTTGACCAAACCCGCCGACCAGCTCGGCCAAGTCGGCGTCGCCCACTACTGCAAGTCGGCTGCACCTCCCGTACACCCAACCACGAAGACGGCTCCGCCCAGGCGAGGACGGGGCCAACAACAACTCCCGTTGACACCTGCGGCCTCCCGCACCGATCGGTCATCAAGTCGGAGAAGACGGTGACGCCATCCCTCTTCCAGCTCACGACGTTGGGCTGAAGCCCCTTCTCGAGGCCCTGCCAGCATTGTTTCAGCCCAGCTCCTCCCACGTAGGTACGGCGCGGCGCGACATAACCGCGAGGTGCGTTGTTGATTGCCTTGACCATGTTACGCCACAACGGGTTGTCGGCGTGGTGTTCGGGAATGCAACAGCCGGCGAAGAACATACAGACGGAGTTGTCCGCCTCGCCCTTCTTGCATTGCGCCTCGTCGCCAATGAAGTTGGTGATGCGGCCTTTCTTCGCACCTCCCACAACAGCATCGAGCGCAGCATCCTCGGCCCGCCTTTTTTTGTCGCGGTTGGCTGCCTTCTTCTCGTAATGCGCGAGCACCGCCGCTCGCACATCGGGCGGAACCTTAGCGCACAGGCAGATGTTGCGAGATCTCTGTCCCTTCCATTTCGCGAGATGCTGAGCACATCGAAACACACCACCCTTGAACTCGATGGCGCAATACTTGCAAACGCGGACAGCACCGAGTGTGCCGGGACGGATGGGAACCTTGAAATGCTTAAAAACGACATGTGTACTATCCTCCTCCTGCCATTGCGCCTCCGAGGTCGAGGCCGAAGGATCAGTAGTAGGCTGACTAGACGGACTAGAAGGCTGAGTGTCGGGAGAAGTGACTGGTGGACTAGACATAGCTCAACACTGACTGAACAGGGATGACAACTGGATGAGAAATGTGTTGAGGTGGGGTCAATTTTACTTACCACGGATTGGTTGGGGAGTGGGGGACGTGCTGTGGTTGGTCACGAATTGTTGGGGGTAGTGGGCGCAATGTTGATGTTCGTGGGGTGATCGTGGCGACTCGGTTTTGCACGTCCCCTGGTTGGAAAAACGCGACCCAAAATGTCGGTATACGGGCGTACGGAAAAAGCGCGAACTTTTGTTTTTTGCTTTTTTTTTGTTTTTTTTTCCTGCCCGGCTTTCCGTATCGCGCATTTGTCCCCGTTTCACGTTTTTGCGTTTATACGTGAACACATATATGTGAAACAAAAAAAATGCTGAGCGTATACGATAACATAGGGCCCAACCTCCTGGGAGAAACACTCGTGGTAGGCTTGGGTGTGTGGCACGTGAAGCATGGTTGCACGCTTGCCTCGGTTATGTTTCTGGTTCGTGAGAGAGCGTTCAAGCCCCTTGTGCAAACCCTCCGCACCAGCCGCCTCCCCATTGTCTGACATTTGAGTCTACTCGAACGGCTTCTGGTGCAATAAAGAGCGTTCAAGCCCCTTGTACAGACCCTCCGCACCAGCCACCTCTGCACCAGCCACCTCCCCTTCTTTTTTTGAGGCGCCTCAAAATTGATTCTGGTTCTTGAGAGAGCGTTCCAGCCCCTTGCACAAACCCTCCGTGATAGAACTAGTGCTTTGAGACGTCTCAAAACACTGATTCTGGTTCTTGAAAGAGCGTTTGAGCCCCTTGTACAGACCCTCCGCACCAGCCACCTTCCCTTCTTCTTTCCCTCGGTGATGATTCTGGTCAACGAGAGGAGAGAGAAACAAGAACTTTCTGGATCGCCTCCGGCATGCACCGTACGTACCCCCCCGTTGCTTCACATCTCTCATCCTTTCTGTCACATCACTCCAGGACTGAGCGCTGGTGAACCAGTGGATGGACGTTGAGGGTCACACACACTCTCTTCCCTCCTGTGATGGTTCTGGTGTTCCTGCCTCATGCATGCACCGTACCCGCCCGTTGCTTCGCATTTCTCATCCTTTCTGTCACACCACACCAGGACTGAGCGCTGGTGAACCAGTGGATGGACGTTGAGGGTCACACACACTCTCTTCCCTCCTGTGATGGTTCTGGTGTTCCTGCCTCATGCATGCACCGTACCCGCCCGTTGCTTCGCATTTCTCATCCTTTCTGTCACACCACACCAGGAGCGAGCGCTGGTGAACCAGTGGATGGACGTTGAGGGTCACACACACTCTCTTCCCTCCTGTGATGGTTCTGGTGTTCCTGCCTCATGCATGCACCGTACCCGCCCGTTGCTTCGCATTTCTCATCCTTTCTGTCACACCACACCAGGAGCGAGCGCTGGTGAACCAGTGGATGGACGTTGAGGGTCACACACACTCTCTTCCCTCCTGTGATGGTTCTGGTGTTCCTGCCTCATGCATGCACCGTACCCCCTCATTGCTTCGCATCTCTCATCCTTTCTGTCACATCACACCAGGACCGAGCTTTGTTGAGCCAGTGGATAGACGTTGAGGGGCACACGTTCTGGTGTATGAGAGAGGGGGTGTTCAGTACAAGCCTCGTGTGTACCCATGCCACCCCTTTGCATTCTCTTGCAGGACCAAGCTTTGGTGAATCAGTGGATAGACGTTGAGGGGCACACGTTCTCACCTCCGGTTATGGTTCTGGTGTATGAGAGAGTGTTCAAGCCCCACTTGCACAAGCGCCCGTGCGATGAAGAGAGATGGAAGGAGGCAAGGGAAAAGGTGAGAGGAAGGGAGAGGAGGGAGTGAGTAATTCAAGGGTAAGGGTTGAAAGAGAGTGCGATGATTCTGCTCTACGAGCGGGTGTTCAAGCCCCACTTGCACAAGCGGCCTCGCGATGAGGAGAGATGGAAGGAGGCAAGGGAGAAGGTGAGAGGAAGGGTGGAAAAGAGAAGGGAATTTGGGCATTTCACTCCTCTACTGGTGGTGTTTCTGGTGTATGATAGAGTGTTCAAGCCCCACTTGCACAAGCGTCCGTGCGATGGGGAGAGATGGAAGGAGGCAAGGGAAAAGGTGAGAGGAAGGGAGATGAAGGAGTGAGTAAATCAAGGGTAAGGGTTGAAAGGGGATGTGTGATGGTTTTGGTGTACGAGAGAGTGTTCAAGCCCCACTTGCACAAGCGGCCGTGCGATGCAAGGTTGAGAGGGAAAAGGGGGGATTTGGCATGGCATCGAGGTACGTTGAGGGAGGTTGAGAGAGAGAGAGGTGCCTGGTCCTCTAATGGTGCCTCTCAAAACAGCTGCTCATGATGGGGAGTCTTCCTGGTACACAAATCATCTGTCATACACCACCCACACGCACTAGGAAGTCTCCCCATCAGCACTCTCACCATCCTCTTTCTTTCTTGGGAGCTCTCCCGCTCGCATAAAGAACACCAGTCGCCTCCTCCCTCTAATACAAGTAATCATCATACAACTTCCTTCCAGTACCCACGCACGCACACCACGCCGACCCTCCTCCCGGTCACCACTCATCATGTCATCCTCTTGCTTCAGAACTATTGCTCGCATGAACACAACCACTCGTCTGCTCTCAGAACAGTGGGCATCATATAACATACGCTACCCATGCACAGCCCACCTACTCTTCCCTCCCATCACCACTCACATCGTCCTCTTGCTTCAGAGCTATCACTCGCATGAACACCACCAGTCGCCTCCTCTCTGCCCTTCGCCGCTCACTGCTGCTGCTGCTGCTGCCACCACCTCCACCACTGGCAGCACCACTGCCACTGCCTCTGCTACTGAAGCCCTTGCGCCACAACTCTTGCAGCAGCACCAGCGCTTGCTGGGGGAGGGAGTGAATGAAAAGAAGGGGTACGCGAAGGGGGGAGAGAGAGGAGAGGAGAGGAGAGGAGAGGGCAGACAGGTGTCAAGATCGGTGTTGTCTCTTCCCACACACGGCACCACCCCTGCCTGGTTCACTCCTTACTTACTTTGGGGTTTCTCCTCACTTGCGACTCGAGCCATATCGGTTCATCCACAGCCCCTCTGGTCACTTCAGCATCCTT